TAGTTTAAATTGTTGCTGACTATTTGTTCATGCAGGTAGAATGCATGCAAACCACAAACATTCATAGAGTAGAACCGCCTTATCCATTAGGGTATTCATCTTTAAGGTATTATATTCCACAGGGATACGGATCATACTAAGACCTTTACAACAACCATACTTAGGGCAAAAACAGATAACACCATCAAACAAATCACCAATTTTATTAATTTTCACCAAAAGGGACTTCTATTTCCGTCTGGAGGTAGTATGACAATTATCCGTATATACTATCCGGAGGCAGTTGGGACCTTTAACCTCCCACTGCAGTGATAAAACGCATGAAATCGGTATTTATCATATTTGGTTTTTGAAATTAACTACATCAAATGTACGTTAAATAATAAAACCTCCACTCTTCGATTTGGCAGTAGGAAGTTTTTAGATGACGTGCACCATAAAACACTCAAAAAACAAATCGAACTAACAATTAATGCGACAAACATTGGAATTTGCGTCGGACACGCACTTAACTGAATTTACGCCTTAAATGCGAATAGTTGTACCTTGTCCGGGTAGCGGCACAGCCTGCGGCCTACCTGCCGCTTTTCCCGACAAGAGGTAACGTTATCGATTGGACATTCGGTGAAGGGCACGATTGGGGCTCACTCCTCGCCAAGGCCGTCGCTCGCTTCTTTAAAGCTGATCGTTCTCATGCGGATGTATACAATAACGTTACACAAGTATGTCCGACTGAAATTGTCGGAACGGTGTCCGCAAAGTGATCATACAGTATTCACCAATATTTCACACTCCTCAAATATCGGGTCCTGTTTTGGACCAACATTCGGCTACCCCCATTCGGCTACCCACACTCAGGCTCGGCCGATAAAAGGTTCCTGTCTTGCGTATTCTGTTATAAGGCGAGTAAGAATGCATGGCACTTGGTCTCAACAGCTAATTCATCTAATAACGTTAATGAAAATACTATAGTGCTTTGGTTGGATCGTTGCCCGATCAGAGCACAATGGCGTCGCAGTGGGTTACGGCGGTAGCGAAGTATAGCCATTTCGTAGGAGTCCAGCCACCTCGTCGCTCTTGGATTCGTAGTACGCTTTCCACGCTTGAAATGCCGCCTCAACGATTGACAGAATGTTCAAAATATTCGTCCTCAACTCAAGACTTCCGTCTCTAGTACCCAGATAACCCGAGGTGACGATAGCATTCCAGACAGCCAGCCCCATGGAGGCAAAAAAGACAATGCCGTGAGCAACCGCCCAACCGCTGGCTATTTCTATCCGATTCCAAAATCAGCTACCACCCAAATACCAATTATGAATCGTAGTAACGTTAGTACATACTGTCGTAATGAACGCCAGACTTTGCATGCGCTGGCAGGTCCACAAGCACGTGAATGTCATCTCCGATGGGCACTTCGTCGTCGACGAAGTGAAATGCGCTCAAGATGGATTCGGAGTCCATTTTGGCCACGTCCGACATCAGTTGTTTGATTCCACGAGGGATCTCTCCACACGTCAGCTCGATTGCATCGCGGTCACTCCACTGGAGCCAGTCGCTGTTGTTCGTCTTCGTAACGTACAGCGTCAATTGAAACGCAGGAAATGGAAACTCCATGCGCTCCGTGATTGCTTTCTTCAGGTCCAAGACGGTGTCGCGCTCGTCTATCACAATTGCCACGCTGACGCCGCTCCCGACCACCACACACGATATCGCCACGTTGGAGGCCTTTTGGTGCGATTTCGGCACCGTCACCAACAGATGTATGGCATCGATGTCGACGCCTGCCACGTAAACGACTTCGCCCGGGAAGTTGAAAGAATGAAGTGGCGAATGTGGCGCCATGAGTTGGCCACCTGCAGTCGTTATCGCTTTGATTCCACTTGGAATCTTGCCAGTCTTCACGAGCTTCACGTCGGCATCGTGGATAGTGAGCCACGTGTTGTCCTTCTTCGCAACGTACAGGTTCAGGGAGGTTGATGGAAATGCAAACTTCTGACTCTGGCGAATGTCGTCCTGCAGGTCTTCCACCATCTTGTGATCGCGCATGTCGACGAAAAAGATTGTCCCTACCCCGACCACCGCACACGTCAAAAATCGCTTGCGGACAGCTACCAAGACGTGGATGTCGTTGCTGTCGTCGTCGGGGAGGTTCAGTGCGCGCACTTGAGTTGCATCGTTCATCATGGTCGCTGGTGTCATCAACGGTTTGATTGCCCCAGATAGATGTCCAGACTTGAGTACCATTCCATCGGGGTCATCCTCCTTTATCCAAGTGCCATCGCTTCGTTGCGCCAGGTAGAGGTCGAGGTCGTACACAGGGAACTGGTATCTCGTGTGGATTGCGTTTTTGAGACCCAACACGCTCACGCTGTCACGGACCTTGAGGGTAAATAGTGTCCCAACTCCGATTGCCACACATGAAATCGTCACGCTGGAAGCGACTTCGCGGGCAGGCGGCACGGACACCACCAACACGTGCACGTCGTCGACGTCGCCGTCTTCTTCGTAGTAGGCCACCTCGCCGGGGAAGTTGTAAGTACCTAGTGCAGTGCGCGGCTTCATCAGTTGGCCACCGGCAGTCGTCAACGTTGCCATTCCACTCGACTTGACCTCCTTCAGGTCGTTGACGGTGAGCCACTTGCTGCCCTTCTTCGCCACGTACAGGGCCATGCAATCCGCATGCAATGCAATGTTTGGACTCTCGCTGATTGCCTTCTGCAGGTCGAGGACAGTCTTGTGATCACGCATGTCAATGTGGATGATTGTCCCGACCCCGACCATCGCACACGTCAACCATCTCCTGCGGACAGCCACCAACACGTGGATATCGTTGCTGTCGTTGCTGGGGAGGCCCAATGCACCCATTTCATCGTTGGGTGCATCGCTTTGCTATCCAACAGCGCTTTGACCTGGGCACCAACCTTGCCAGACCACAACATCATCACTTCGGGATTGGTCGCCTTGATCCGCTAGTGTCCTGCTTCGCTAGGTAGAGCGACAATTCATGCGGAGGATATGCACACCCCCATTTCTCCTTGATCGCATCCTTGAGGTCGAATACTTGCTGGCCGTCTTCCAGTGTCACCCTAAAGACGGCCCCGTCCTGGATCGCCGCACATGTGACCTTCATATCTGTTGGTGCCAATTCAATAGTGTGAACTTGAATCGAGATAGTCCAAGTTGCAACCAATCAGAGCATTCCGCTCAATACCCCGTTTTGTCATTTTCGATGGTTGTGGTTGTACCCACTTTTCTTAACTCCCCTAGGTCCATTTTAAGTACGTCTAAGACGAATAAGTATATTTTGACGTATTAATACGTCTAAGTCGTACTTAAGTAAATATATACTAGTATTGAGCTAAATATAGACAGAACAGAATCGCCCCTCCTCATCTCGCTCAATAAATTTTCTTGAACATTTATTCTCTTGATTTAAGTAAACAGGTTTCAGACAAATTAGTCCATTCGTATGTCTTAGGCGTACGGTACGTCTAAGACGCATTTTGGTCCTAAGCTTAGGGGAGTTAAAATTTCTGCATTGGAGTGAATTTGCAAATGACAATATCCTGGAGGGTGGGGGAAATGACCAAAACAGCGAACCTCAAATGAATTGGCAGCATACCAAGCAGCTCGATCGCATAGCTCTTATATAAATAATACCTGATAACGTTAGACACATTAGGGGCTGAGGACTTTCGATTGGCCTTTCGACAAGACGCGACAACCGGGGGCGCATGGTGTAGACGGTAATTTTAAAGGTCTTGACATTGAATTGTAAGAAATTTAAAAAGCCAGTTAACGTAATAATAAAACATTGCTTCAAATATGACTTGAAGTTAGGCCGAGTCTGCATCATATCACAAAAAATATTATGTCAATTTATATTCTGATAGATGTGAGAAAATACTTTCAAAAAGTTTTGATGTGACCATGATGGAATGAGAACTATGGATAGAATATCATGTTGGTAAAATGCAAAACACTGAAACGCTGGTGTGAATTGAATGCTCGACAACGAGATCATTTAGTCTTTCGTTGTCTTCACTTGCCCTGGCACAACTTACAAGACGGCAGAATGCGGGGTTTGGAACCTGTCGGTGGCGCATTGTGAGTTGGGTTGCCCAGGTGGAGGATTGCGCAGACTCCTGTATGTGGCAATGGACAATGGACACTCGACGTATGTGCCATATTCTGCTGGATACAAATATAACTCCCAGGTAGAGTACTGTATCAATGTCATCATCATGACAACATGCACGAACGTTCGGTTCTATGTCCGCTTGGGGGCAACCTTTGAACGCATACTGACCGTGTCTGGCTGGCGCCATGACATTCCTGAATACGAAACGGTGCGCGAATTCAAACGTGGTGGCGGTTTCAGAAGTCCGAATGTTGGTCAAAACGTCAAAAAGTTGGTTTTATTGAGTATTTATCATATCCTACCAGAAACTCTTGTGGCGCAACCTACTCCTGCCGATTCCACAAGGGGTTATGATGTGAAAAGTCAACACGTGCATTTTACCCAAATTTGGACTTGTCGCCAAATAGCATTCGAATCCATTTGATCCAATTTAAGCTTGTACAAACTATACTATACCAATATTAGTATATACATGGTTCTAGGACGAGTCAAGCGTTGGGCGTGCTTTGATTGGCTTAGGCGGTTCATTAATCCTTTCTCTTAAGACTTCTGCTGAGGGCTCTCGATTTGACAATATAGCTGCGAGCAATTCGTCCCGAGTTCGATCCTGGTTGGAGTCCTTCTTTTTATACATTATCCGTAGTTTTTCATGTACTTCGTCGTGTTGTTGTCTTGCGCCGGTGTTCGCAACCGACGACTACCGTGTTCACAACGGTGACCTCGATGACAAATCCAAAAGTAACTTCATTATCCAGTCAATCAGTCAGTTCCCTCCTATCACTTCACTACTCTCTACAAGTCATGCATCGTACAGTGTACCATCAGCTCGGAACATATGCCGCTCCGATCCAGGTCATATTTCACACTCTTCAAATGTCATTCGCGACCAACATTCGGCTACCCACACTCAGGCACGGGGAGTCGAACAGAGGCTCGGCCGATAACACTTCCCCCCCCTACATTGGGTAGCCACATGCACTCGTGAGATCGTCAATCATTTCGCTCACGCCGTCTTCGTTGCTCCGGGCCTTGGCCCAGCGACGGAATAGCACGGGAACGTCTTCGTAGATCGATAGGGCCGGTTCCCAGGACGACTCCAGATCGTCCAGGCCAAGCCACTTGATCAGGACTTCCCAGACCCCATCTCGCAGACGCAGGTCCCGGAGGTCTTCCACGTAAAACCCTTCATCACCGAACGCGATTTGGGCCTTCAAATCTTCATTGACTTCACGTCCGCCCTCACAGTACAGGCGAAGCCGGCACGCATCGTGCAGGGACGTCGCTCCCGGAGGCACCAGCTGCTGGACTTCCATCAGGTAGTCGGAGACCACCTTCACGACCCGGAAGGGTCCCTTCCCACGCAACGTTAGCTTTCCCGGATGCTGGAGAGCCCAGGCCACCAAAACAAAATCGCCCAACGTAAATTTCGCCAGCTTCACGGAACGTTGACCATCACGACGGTACCGGGCCTTAGCGCGCTTTGCTGCCGCCATTTCTGCCACATGCTTGTGCATAATTCCCAGAGCATCTGCGAGTTCTGTCACGTGGCGTATGGCCCGGGACTTAATCCAGTCGATCGTTACCTCCCGGGGCTCGTCCGGGTGGACCAGTCAAATCAGGGGAGGTGTAGCAGGCAGGCCCGTAAACGCCGTCGTTGGCACTACGCCATCCAAACGGTCGGCCGGCTGCTGATTCAGGGCAGATTGTACCAGGGGTAACACCCCCGGTCAGTCTCCGGGTTGTAAGCGCATCTCGCTACACAGGGTATTTAGGGTCCGGACGACGATCCGGTTCACCACCTCAACTGTCCCGTTGGCCCAGGGGAAGTGTGGTGTGACAAAATGATGATGAACACCAAACATACGACCCAGGGTACTGACCAGTTCGTTCTTGAAATGGGACCCAGAGTCGGATACCCAGGTCCTGACCACCCCGAACAGTCCAAACCATTCCATCAACGCCGCGGCCGTCTCTGCTGCAGACGCTGTCGTACTGGCATGCAACCGAACGAACCCGCTCATGTCATCCTTGATGACCAGGACGTATTTCAGGCCTCCCGGAGCCTCCGGGAGCGACAGCCAATCGAAATGAATCAACTCATTTGGCTTCGTGGCATGCAGCGCTTCACCCCAGGGACGGGGTACCGACTCACCGTCGACCACCATACAATGAAGGCAGGTAGTGACGAAGTTCTTCACGTCGGTCTTCAGGGTAGGCCAATCAAACATTTCCGCAACAGATGCCGTTGTCGCTTCCACTGTCCGGTGTCCCGCCACGCCGGCATGGGCCACCACACATATACGCACTTGCATATCCAATGCATCTCCCGGGATCCAGATCTTTCCAGCTGCCGTTACTGTAGAAAACACTTCTTCTCGGCGCTCCAGGAGGCGTATTTTTCAAATGTCGGATGACCGCGCTGCAATTCCGTGATCGCATTCGCCGTCGGCCAC